ATATTCCACTATAGTTTTTTGAGAAAGAGTCTTAAGATCCTATAGACCCCTTGCAGTTCATGGGAATGCAGCTCCAACTGGAGGACAAAACAATAGATTCTAGTTCCCAAGAGGATAAAAATCTTTTGTTTTGTCCTCCAGATGAAGCTGTTTTGACGTCACATGCAAGGGGTCTATAAATGTTTGTTTGCAAGTCCTACAAAGTATCCATCCGACACCGTAATTACCGTGCCCAGGCCTCTAAGGGCGTCAAAAACATCACCTAAACTATTCTCAAAKTAATGTCTCAGGACCACTAGAATAGGACGTTAAAGAACTTTAATCTTAGCAAAAAGGAAAATTTGAATTGAGCGAAATTTAATGTTACACTCGTATAAAAAAAGAATATGCGACAGAAGCGAGAATGTAAGGGCCTTCAACTATTCGCATACTAAAGGTCCTCCAACAGTATTGTAAACTTAAGACAAAAAGAAATTCGAAAAATCTTAGTCGCGAACTAGGCACGGTAAGTTCCACGTAGTGGTTCTCGTTGTAGATTTCGCTTGCTCAATAYGTCAKGGGAGAACTTGATGAAGCCTGMMATCTAGCGCCAGTAAATGTTGACACTAAAATCAAGCAATAAGGGTGTTAAAAATGTTATGTACACATAGGATGTTGCTGTATCAATGTCGGTTGGGAAAAAATATTTAAAATAAGAATTATAAATTAAGTTAAATATTACATAGTAGCCAAGGGCTTTCAATCAAGGGAGAGAAGGTTGAAGAGGATTTCTACTTCATGATTATATCAGGAAGAGGGAAACGGTATTGTGGATATTCTGGACGCAATAATCAGTATTAGGCGAGTGCGTTTTATCAGAAACTTTATGTAATTTACATTTCGAAAGGACCYGTATGCCCAGGCGGATCAAGGTAGACAGGTAGCCGAGATGAGAAAATGATGTTATCCATTTCCAGAATTGTTGTTCTTTTTATGCAGATTAAAGCAATATTGTATGTCTTCACATACGAGAATAGCTATGGTTTTATTTATTTTGTTAAAGCGGCCGTTGATCTTCAATATATTTGCAGATCGTTTATTATTTGAGTATATTCGAGCTCATAAATACCTTTATTTGAAAATGAACCCTATTTTAGCCGACAACATTAAGACTACAAGATTTCAGATCTTGAGGAAATTTAACTGGATCCGCGAGCTCTAGTTCTTTACCAATCTCCTCACCAAATAGTGTGCTAACAGATCAATATACACTTGTACATWAGTTACTTTCCGTTTTTTATATTCTATTTTATTTGTTAAACATGAACGATTCTACAGCACCGAGTATTGAGTTTCCACGAAGTCTTGGAACAAACTTTGCCATCTCGTTGATTGTTRTCAACRCTTGTAGCTCAATCGTGGCTTTTRTCTTGAACTTCATGATCATTTTGACTTTTTTAAAGACGCTATCGATGCGARCACCTTCGTATATTCTTATTCTTTGTTTAGCCATCGCTGACTTTGGTGTTGGCGYTGTGATGCAGCCRGTATATTGTGTTGAATTGTTTGCTCGAATGAAAGGMTACAAATCCGTTATTTGTACGACATCTTACATAAGAAAGAGTTGTTTATGGGTATTAACGGCTTCATCTTTGCTGACGATTACTGGCATTACCATCGACCGTTTCCTTGCTCTTCACTTGCATCTGAGATATCAAGAACTTGTTACTGCCAAGCGGTCGTACCTTGTTGTCATCATTATTGCTATTTCTAGCGCTTTTGGGATTTTTGCTGCATGGTTTCGCGTTGCCGCAATGATCACTGGGTGTTGCTTTTCTGTTCTRGTTTTGTTAAATTTAGTCTTGATGGCAACAATTTCTCGAGCTGTAAGTAAACATTCAGCAAGTATTCATGCACAAGAGCAATCAGTACGAGAAAGCTTGAACCTTCCACGATACAAGAAGACTGTTAACACTATGCACTATATCATGGGAGCGTTTGCCCAGTGTGTTACGTCCCAAGTTGTATTGCAATTAGTCTTCGAGCTTCAAACACCGAAATACCGACATCTTCATTGGATGTTGCAGTCATTCTAACCAACACACTCTGCCTGATAAACAGTGCTTTGAATCCAGTCATCTACTGCTGGAGAATACAAGACATGCGAAATGCTGTCGTACAGCTTGCTCGTAACATTCAGTGTCTACACCACAATCCTTGAATCACTTCCTTTTAAGGCCCGTGTACACTTGATGTACACAGTCATCTACTTCTGGAGAATATAGGA